AAGTCAAGTATTGAAACATCCCTATGATGTATCGAGACTTAAGCAACCTTAGAGAAAAATTTAAGAAATAAAGGAGCAAAGTATCGAGACGTGTACTGGAAGTATCGAGACTTTGGAAGACAGAAGCATTTTGAGTTAAGAGCTATCGAGACATAGTGGACAAGTATCGAGACTTGAGCAAACAGAAGCATTCTATTTGACAAAGTGTCGAGACCTCACTTGTAAATATCAAGACATGAGGAAATAAAAGCATTCTATGAGTCAAAGTATCGAAACCTCACCTACAAGCATCAAGACTAAGCCAAAACTATTGAGACCCTACTTGGATGTATTAAGACATCATTCAAATGCAAAAAGGCAATATGAAACAAGCAAGCATCGACACTTCTATTGAAGGTATTGAGACTTGGCCATTCCCAAGTAAAAAGTGTCGAGATTTCAAGGAACGTATTATGACTTATCACTTGACAAGTGGTTGTAATGGCTAGTTTTGCATTTAATGAAGCTTCAATGGCTCCTACACATTTAAGAGGTATAAATTGAAGTCTCTACCACATTTATGACAAAGGAAAGTTGTTGAAAACATTCCAAAAGAGAAAGAATCATTTCAACAACTAAAAATCTTTAGTCTCTCTTTCTTAAGCTTTAAATTCCTTTTCTCTCATATTCATTACAGCTTTAAATTCTATCTACTCCTTTTACACATGTAAAAAGCCTTGTACCCACTTAGCTAATTAGCCTACTAGAGGCATCTTAGATCTTTATTCCTTTTCATTGTATCCATTTCAAGGTTATACCTTAACCATTTAAAGGTAATGTTATATGGTTATACCTTAACCAAGTGAAAAGGTAAAGAGATTCAATCTCATCCTTGATATAATTATTATTAAGGTTATGCTTGAACTTTTAAAAGGTATTTTTATAGTGCATTCAAAACTCCTTAATGAAACTAAGGGAGAAGACATATGCATGGAGGTTGATCCTCTATAAAAATACTTGTGTTCTTGTTTCTCATTTTTCTATCAAGGTTCTTAGCTTCTTAACCTTAATTCAAACTTAAGTTTCACTACTAAAATATTCTTACAAGAAGAAACATTTTTATGAGAAAATTTTGATTTTTATCAAATTAGCAAAGATTTTCAAAAGAAGTCAATTCACCCCTCTTGAACTTTCACACTTTGAGCTTATTGCACTAACATAAACATATGTTGTTATTAGCATTGTCAAGATAGCATGTCATATAGATTGTATGCTACTAAATTTATCATGGTAATGATATATGTCATATGGATTAAGATTGCTATAATCATATGCCATGACATAAAATATACCATATAGTTTTATTGTTATTATCATGCAGTATGTCATATAGTTTTAGGATTATCATCATCATGTAATATGTCAAGTAGCTTTAGGGGCATTTTTGTCATTTGGCATGTCATATGGTTTTAAGGGTATTATTGTAATTTTGCATGTCATGTAACATTCAATTGCCATTAGGAATCTTGAATATAACATAATCACAGGCCATGAGGTTTTAAGGTTATTTATGCCACTTTAACTTGTTATGTAGAGTTTGAGTTCAATTAGGATTCTTGACATGTAAAGTTCGTAAGTAATTAGGACTCTTACCTTGTATTACATAAGTGATCTTTTGCACTTATATGACAATATGTCATTTAGATCAAGGATATTTATGTCTTTTTACCTCTCATAAAGAATCCTTCTACGACTAACAACTCATGAAAAGTTTTACTTCAATTGAAACTATTCATTTTCAAATGCTTATATTAATTGTTATGTTTTTAACATCTATCTTGACATGATTGTGTCATGATAATGATCAATATATCACCCAAAATTGTTAATGCACTTGTATATTTTTAGATGCAAGTGTGACAACATGAAACATATAAATGTATATAAATGCATGATATTTGCGGGTAATCTAGGCTAAGTGTATGTGAAACCTTGAATTTTGATTTAAAAATTTAATTTGGAAAAAAAAAGCTTCCTCGGTGTTCTTGTAACTTGTTGAATCCTGAGCCACATGTCTCAAAACTACCTTAGAAACTTTAATTGAAAGTATAAGGATAAGTGTAGAGTTAAATATATAAGGTTTTGGAGAGCATTATGTTTGAAACGTATCAAAGTATGTACCAATACTTATTGTCCCAAATGCCTTAGGAGCATTTCGTTGGAAAAGTATCGACACCTACAAGAAATATATCGATACTTGGTATCCATAATGCCTTAAGGAGTATTCTGTGTAAAGAGTATCGATACTTATAAGAGAACTATCGATACTTGGAGGCCTGAAAGCTTTTGGTAAGTATTCTGTGAGAAAAGTATCGATACTTACACTAAAAGTATTGATACTTCTAATGAGGATAACAAAAATTAAAAAGGTCAATATGAGAATTTTTGCCCCTAAGTTAAAAAGGGGAATTTTACTCTAGCAAAACCCATTTCCTTTTACCTTATCTCGTTCTCTACTTCACTTTCTTTTTTCCCTTTTTACCCACAATAAGCTTATCTTAAATTCCATCTTTAAAGCTTTTTTAAGGTTTCTCTCACTAAAATCTCACTCCCCTCAACTTACAAAGGTAAGGTTCCTTTAAAACCCTAGGTATTTGAAATAGGTATGAGATGTGTGGAAGTTGGAAGAGGAAAACCTAGATTTAGAAATAGATTGATGAATTGTTGTTAGAAAGCTAGTGGGAATTCTAAATTTTAGAGAATATGCTAGAATTTGATTGCATGATTTGTTTGCCTTACGTTCCATTGAAGCTCCAAGGTCCAATAGTTAAAAGAGCTTAGCTAAGTGGTGTTGACTTTGGATAGGTGGCATCAAAGAGGTGAGTGAACTTGTCGTAAAATGTTATGATGAGAAAAGCAAGAAAAATGTTTATTTGAAATGAATATGCCTAGAAAATGTTTGTTATGATTTTCCATTTAAGGTTAGGCACATGTGTATGTATGTATGTATGTATGTTTTCATACAATAAGCTTGCATGGGAACAAGCCTTTCGAATGGTGTGAAGAGTCAATGTTATGTTATAATAAGATGAATGTGTTTTCAAAGGTGAAACCTTAATGTTTACGAAGTCATATAATGTATAGGATTTTAAAGAGGTGTAAATGTTTAAATGTTAAAAGTGATGAAAACTTGTGAATTGTTAAACCTCATTATGAAGGGGCTTGATTTGGTATGTTGTGTGGTATGGTAGTTAGAACTACATGCCTTGTGAAACGAATTGTGAATGATACTTGGAAAAAAGGTTTCTAAATGGTTTAAATAAGTTAATGTTCTTAGTGGAGTAGCTTAGGTGAAAGACCTGAGCTAGCAATAGTATTTGCTAGACATTATGTACAATGAGGTCACCCTAACTAGTAAAGGGGAATGGAAATGGTGCTAGCCATGTGTGGAAGAGAATGACACATGTGATTTTTATGAGGTCATTGGCTACATGCATAGGACCTCGAGATCACCCTTGATAGTGGGGAATGGAATACTTTATCTAAGATCATCCTTGATAGTGGTAAGTGGAATACACTATCCATTGGTCTGAGGTCCATAGGACCATATCTATGTTAATGCTTCATAAGTATGTTCCACCTAGTACGTAAATTATGAATTGTGGAAAGAAATATTGCAATGAACTTTGATTTAAATGATGAATCTAGTTTTAAGTTTTTTTTTGAAAGTGATTTGTGTGATATGGAAGTGCTATGTAAAGTGTCTTTTGTTTAACCTTGTGTGGTTGAAGTTAAAAGCCTTGGAAAACGCTTAACTGTTTGAAAACTGCAAGTATTAAAAAAAGTATCAATGCCTTTGAATAACATATCGATACTTGTTCTTTAGTTTTGTTTTAAAAGGGATTCTAGAATAAAAGTATTGGTACTTCAATGAATGTATCAATATTTTTCGAGGCAGAATACGTGCAGGGGGTAATTTCTCTTACAGGTATCAATACCTATAACCAAAGTATCAGTACGTGTAGTTTGATTTCTCAAAAATTGTGAGTTTTTAACTTGTTCTACTTAAAAAGGGCTTACCACCTTGGATTAAAATATAAAAGGATTCAAAAATGATTTAAGAATTCATTGTGTCATGAATTTGGTTTCAAAAGAAAAAAAGTGCATGGTTTCAAAGTGAGTGGCGTAAGTTTTATATAAATTCCTCCATATACTTTGCTTGTTCCCTTCTTATGTCCCTCACTAAGTTTATGTTTACCGTTTTTAACTTATGTTTTGGTTTTCATATTCAAATGTAATTGGATCATAACTTGAGTCCTACCCACATCTGACATATAATAAGTTCATTACTGTGGCATTTAGTAGCCATCTCCACACTCAGAGTCGTTCCACAGTTTAGTGTTGTGATTTTTCGTTCTTTTGGATATTAGAGTAAATTATGTTTTAGCCATGAATTGGCAAATACCAAATGATATATGTATATGGATGACAAAGAACTATAAGATATGATACTTTCTTTCGAAATATTTTATATGGTGATGTTGAGTTCTATCCTTGATTAGACAATGTATGATTAAAGGGATGAATATATAACAGTTGTATGACTAAAAGACTTGTTTAGACCTTGTAGACTTTGCCTATTGGACCTTTGCACTGACCATGACCTAAAATTGGGTCGTGTCCCAAGCATGGTTAAAAGCTTTGATTCTGTCTTTAACTCTTACACCATATTCTCGGAGCCAAATTCTTTGCTAAAGACGAGACTTGAGCCCTTTAACACCTACGACTGATTCTCAATTCTAACTAAAAATTTGGTGGTGTCTCCCAAATAGCCTTAAGTGGCAAGTTTGGCTTAAGCCTAGACTTGTACGAACTAAGTGTCTTTCTATAGCCATTTACAGTTTTGCCCAAGAGTTCTGAGAGACAATTTTGAGGCCTTAACTGAAAATTCCAAATCTAGTCCAGACGTCCCAATAAGTGCTCTATACGTCCAATTCGAAGGTTCCAACCAGCAAATAAAGTCCCAGCTCCAGAAGATCTAGTCTAGCTCATCGTAACGCCGAAATATGTCTTGCAAGCCAATCTACTTGTACCGTAGAAAATATTATTCTTGTTCTTGATTTAATGTCATAATGAAGATATTCTTTATCTATGAGTTTAAACTTTTTAATAAATTGCAAGCCAATCTACGAGTACGGAGGCCGTGGCCCAAGACGCGAGCAGCGCACCCTGGACCTTCCGAAAGTTAGGGATAACAAAAAATAAAAAACACAGGGAGCATCCTGCAGAGTTTATGAAGAAACTAGAGAATGGTAAACCCTAGGCGAATTTCACATTCAAACAACAACCAAAGCGTGGAGAACCCATTTCAGTTTCAGACCCAAAGCTTGTCTTATCTCTCATCTGTAAAGCACTTACTGAAAAAGCCCCAGGCCTTCCCTTTTCTGCTCTTGTTGCTCCTGTTGCTGACATGGGTCTCTCTAAGATTGCAGTATTCTTCTCCTTCTCACCATGAGCAATGGGGCAAAGATGACGGCGACGATGGCGACTTTAAGGCCAATCTTTTCAGATTCAGATCTGGGTTACCCTCAGATATTGTCAAGGACAAGCGCGGCTGGCTGCTCAACCCCGTTTCTCTTGCGCTTCAGAATGGCGTCAAAGGTCCTTATTTACTTATCTACAATTGTCAAGGATCAGATGCTTAGAACAGAAGCGATTGTTTAACCATTTTGTATCCTTTCATTTTGCTTATTCTTTTCTTTTTTGTCTGATCCTGACGTTGTTCTATTGAATTTGGTGGTTGCTTTGTCTGGTTACAGCAAAAATAATGTTTTAGATGCCTAATGTTGGTGGAAAATGGCTTCCATCTTTGCATGCGTGCAAAAAATGCACTGTTTTGGTGCCTGCTTAACTCAAACCAACTAATTCATAAACACAAATGGCTGCATAAATTCTCTTTCTGCATTCCATTTTAGTTCACACTATATGCACTGAAATGACTATAGATGCCATACCCTTTTTATTACCCCATACAATATGATCTTTGATGCCACTGTATGAAATCACTCTTTTGTGTGTGAGAACCAGTACCATGTTGCCCATGAACAAAACCATGTATATCTACATCCCTGATTAATTTTGGCTATCTACTCTAAAAGTCTGAAATTTTATTCTGCTGACATGTATTGAAAAAGAAAGAAACAAAAGAGATCTTTGGCCTCCTAAAAATTGATTCTGTATTAGTGAAATTTCCCTTTAGAGGGGATATCTTACTTATTTCTTTGAGATTCCACATTGTTTTGAATTTCTATCTTTTACTTTTATAAATATTTATTTATTTTTAGGTTTACCTTCATTTTAATATCCTTAGTGATTTTCATTGGAGCATATTTTCTTACAGGTGGCGCAATGTCTTGTGTTTCGGTTCATATTGGTGAAATCCGACCAGGCTGTGTGAGGGGAAATCATAGACACTATACTTGTAATGAAACATTTGTCATTTGGGGTGCTAAGACAAAATTCAGGGTATGCTCTATTCTCATGAATTAGTATTTTGATTTTACAACATGCATATGGCTCATGCATGTTGGATTAATTAGTCATGCCGGGAGTTTCACTTTCATTATCTATGTGCAATTCTATGCTAGGAGTATACTAATTAAGGTTTTCCAGAGGAACTGCTGAATTTAGTCTGTCATAAATAGAAAATATATGCTGTATTTCATTCAATGAAACTATTTTCTTGTTGACTGTATGTATCTCCCGCTTGCTTGATAACAAGCTGATCTCTTCTTGCTGGTATGAACTTTTGAGAAATCCAGATTATGTCACATAGTATTAATATATATAAAGTATTCAACAAAGCTGATGTCTTCCCACTTGTTCTGGTCATAAGAAATCCAGGATTCATTGGATTAGAAAGGATTTGCAACTCTCGCGCGCTGATTATTAGTTTTCTAGCACTAGTCCAGTGTAGGTCTGGAAACACTGATTTCTTTGGTGCAAATTCCAACATTGTTTGACTTAAAATCCTAGTAGGTTGTGAAGATGCTGATCAAGCAGCTAGATTGATACAAACTAATCTTGTTTCTTTTTGATAGAACAATAAAAAGTGTTATCTATTATAATATATCTATTCGTATGTAAATTTTCTAATGTTTTCATTGATTCAACTTCAAGTTCTTGTTTAGTCAAGGAAGAACTCATAACTAGTTAATGATGCAATGGACTACTAATGGAAAGATGATCCTGTTGAAAATTGGAAAGTTAGTTATATCTTCTTTTATGTGTTCCGGCGATGGTGAAGAAGTGCAAGTGATGCAAAACCATTGAGGGAGAAGGGATAGTATGGATGAAAATCAGGGAGAAGAGCTTATAGCACATCATTACTTGGTTAGGTAAATTTCACCCTCTTTAAAGCCAAGGGTTAATATGTTCATCAACAAAAAATATCCTTTTTCTCCCAGTGAAGATGTCCTCTGTTCATAATTAAACAAGAAAGTTTTGCTGTTCAAGGATATATTGGCAATTTTCTTTTTATCGGAATTGGCTTTAGTGTTCCATTGGGTCTTATTTTGGGTTTAGTATCTGTTTGTATTGTTGGACTCTGTGTGTTTGAATTTGAATACAGATTTTTAAGTTTACAGATCTGGGAGGATTTGTGGTTGAGTGGTTGAATTTTCTTCTCTTGGTTCTTACGGTATTGCAAGATACTGTTCCCAGCTTTGAGGAAACAACTATAACCTGTCCTATTATAATTATATCGCTCTCAGAAGATTCCTGCAACCTTTTCTTAACACCCAGCCCTCATTTGAGGTCCAATCTCAATAGATTCAGACCCTAATTGATTCCCTACTTTTAAAGACTTAGCATACCATAAACCCTAAATAGGCATACTTCCCCAAATCTAGCTTACATCAAAGAGGGAAGAGAGGAAATATATGGAAGAGGGGTTTGGGAAAGGGGCAAAAGTCAGAGAGGAATAATGGAAAGAACAAGGAAAGAAAATTGAATTTTAATTACTGAAATCTCAATAATATATTGCCCAAGGTTGCTTTGAAACTGAAAACATAAACCCAAGCGCTTTATATACTAAGGGCTAGTTTGGCATAGCAGTGGTTATGAGATTGAAAATAGTGCAGGGAGATCAGGAGTAGCAGTGCTGAGATTGAAACTAGGGGTAAAGATAATATTTGTTTGGTAGACAACAGTGGCAGTGTGATGAAAAGAAAAAATTTATGATTAAGAGCATTAAGTAAAAATTGGATATATATATATATATATATATATTCAAATATTTAACATTTGAAATGCTAAAAGAAATCAATGAAATAATTAAAAAATTAACAATAATAATATATTTTCACATATGTATAATTATTAACAAATTATTTTTGATATATTACAACAATATTATATTTTAGATGAAATGGAAATTAGTTGGAATACGGTCCCAGTACACATTTCAGAAAGTGAGACCATTGTCATCTCAGATCATGGAAAAATAGTTTATTACTCAACGAGTCGGATCTTCTCATTAAGAATATTATTGGACTTTGTTTTATCCATTGTCCTTGTGAAGCCAATTTCTTTGCTGACTCACTTGCTAAGAAGGGGTTTATGGAGTAAGAGAATTAGCTACTTGGATTTCTTAATTCACTCACTTTCCAGTCTCAAGATCAAACTTTCTAACTATTTGGGGTCGGTCCTTTTCTTTCAGTTTCACTTTTGGGTTTGTTTTATGCAATTATGCTCACCTTTTGCTTTGTGGTTGCTCTATAATCAACCATTCTTAGGTTGGTGATTTCTAAGGATATCTGATGTCCTGTTATTGTTGATCTCTGTAGCATTTTCGTTTCTCTTCAATAAAATTTCTTTTACTTTTCCAAAAAAAAAAAAAATTGATATTATGTGACAGTAGCTTCGATTCAAGTATACGAAAGATGTCTCAGATATAGTTATATTTGCATGTGTAATTTCCTCTTGAACCAATTGCAGGTGGAAAATAATCAGATAGTTAATAGAGGTTATGCTGAAGTGACCATTGGGCAGGATGAAGTTGCTGTTGCCGCAAGCCCTAGCGGAACAGCCCATGCTCTGGTAAATGTCGATCCCTTACACAGCACATTCTTTATGGGCTGCCAAGACAGTACAGCTAACTCTAACAGTTCAAATACTGATTTTAATGTTTGGAAAGATCTTTAAGTGTCTTTGTTATTGATGCCTCAACTTCCCTATTTACCTGTTGCAAATGGAATTCATCATGTTCTCTTTTTATTGTTTTTTTGTCCTGACAAGGGATTATAGTTCTGGAAATTGTAAAATTGGTTATATATGTATATATTGCATAGCTAATGTTTTTGTTTAGTTGAGCTGTGACTGTTTGTTCATTCATTCGTACCATGAAGTTGCTTCTGTAACTTTGGTCTGTTTCTTGTGACATGTACGGAATTATTTACATTTATTGGCTAGATAAGGCAAATCTTATTGCAAGTTGCATGATGTTGATGTAATGTCGACCAATGCAATTATTAGTTGTGGTATTGCTGGTTTGCTGTTTTATTATCTATCTAAAATGTTTGGGGTCAATTGCGATGTTAACTATATATTAAAGATCCTAAGAGCTGCTCTCGACGTTAAGATTAAATGTCTCTTCCCAAAGTTGTAATATAGAATTTAGAGAATTTAAGATTGCTTTCCAGATTGTTTTTAGCACGTTTAAAGCTACCAAAAAAAGGACAATATGCAAATGAAGAATGAAAGAGTTTAAGAATGATTGTTAGATGCTATTGGTAAGAACATTGGGGAGTATCTATAGGGCTTAAACGGTATTTTCGACATCCATTTAAAATTGAGTCTCGTCTTGAAAGTTGTAACCTCTAAACGTTTCGTAAATTTAAATTTAATTACGATTAACTGTTGAATAACGTATCTCTAGATTTTGATTAATAGATGAATCATGCATTGCTAGACTAAATATCTGACTAATCTCTAACATCAATCAACTAATATATATCACAGAGGTAAAATTAATCGTGAAACAACTTAAGTTGATTCTAATAACGCATAAGAGTCAATTAAGTTTATAAAAAAGTACGCATACATAATTATTGTATTAATAATATTATAAAATTATTAGTCAGATATATATATTTTTTATCATTAATATACATCAATCTCTCACTTACTTACTAGTAATGCAATGATATGAGAAAAATATGCAATACATACATGGATAATATATGTCTAAAGGTGGGTCTAGACTTGAATTTTTACATTAAAAATGATAAGACATATTCAAACTATACATTGTTACGTATGTGCCACAAAGGCGTCCCATTAATTGGTCTTTCGCTTAATACTGTGTTAGCAAGTACTCAAAGATCTTACTGAAAATTCATAAGAAGCGGTCTCTCACAACTTGGCTTGCATAGGTAGACTCAGCAAAAGTGTGCACAATAACTCTTACTCTATACAACTTTAGCTCTGAGTCTATTAAGGAGGCGTCATATTATGGACCAACAATTCAGTGTCTGCATGTCCGGTTTTCACTACCTTGCTTGCCTACTGCTCTTTATGCTTCTTTTGTTTATGATAAGAGTACAAGGTTAGAAAGAACTGCTTTATGGGACTGCGGCAGGAGATATAAGGCAGCCATGGCTGGTGGGGGGCGATTTTAAGTAAGGATGAACGACTATATGGGATTGCACCTCATGATGGCTCAATGGAGGATTTTGCTACAACCTTGCTAGTTTGTGGATTGATGGATGGCGGGTTTGAAGGCATCAAGTTACATGGATAAATTCTCATATGTTCCAAAAGCTAGTGTAGACACCCTTTTTTTTTTAAAAAAAAATAAATAAATAATAAATAAAATAATAAATAAAAAATTAAAAAAAAAGTTAAAAAAAAAGAGCTGAAAATGTAAACAAGACCCCTATTCGGCTCATCATTACGGGGCATTTAATGCCCCTGACTAGCAACCGAAAATGGAAGGGAGTGGTCACCTCCGACACCAAACTCCCTTCCAAGCTAGTGTCTAGTGAACCTCTGGATTGTCTAAATTTTTGGACAATCCAGATCTTAAAAGAGCCTCAGGTAGAGAGGAGACTCAAGGAAATCTTGTAGAAAAAGAGCAACCAAAAACCCAAATTAACCAACCAAAAATCGATTCCTCTCAAACAACAAAAACCAGAAGCAAAAACCAAAAAAATCAGAGAAAAAGCCTTGCATGGAGAGTTGAACTATCCTAAACTATCGCAAAAACAAAAGAAAAATCAGAAGCATAACTAAATCTAGTTGAAATTAAAAAAAATTAACGAAAATAAACTAACCTAAACTATCACAAAAACTAATAACA